AACATTTATATATTGTTACAAAAGACACAGGGTTTAAATGTTACAGAAATGGTGTCAGCAGGTGATGAGATATAGGTAAAGGTCATGGCTGGTCAAGTGTATGAATGGTGAATAGACCTTGCCACATATGGCTGATGTTGCTAAGGCCATTATCTTGGTTTAGTAAGAGATCATTTGCTTTTATCATTCCTTAAGTTTCTAAACAGTCTCTTCCTTTTTTTAGCTTTGGGTTGGTGTAGGAGAAGAATTTCATCCCAGTGTATTTTGTGACCTATTTCATATTGATGATATGTTAAAGTGGATATTTGGAATTCATTTCTAAGAATGTAACCTCGGTGTTCTTTGCATTTTATTTCTAAGGTTTTAGCTCACATTAACTAAATTAGTTTTTTAATTCATGTATAGCTATTCAGACAATATTAGGTAATGCCAGTTTGTCATTCTAACTTGAAAATATTAACAAATGGTACAGATTAATGAAGACTTTTATATACCAATCTTTTCTTCCTGTACCAACAAGCTACCTTAAGAGAATTTCAAACCATTTTTAAATTATTTGTTTATTAAGATATTGGTTTCTACAAAACTTATTTTAACCAGCTTTTCCAAATTTTCTTAAGAGAATTTATTGATACTTTTAGTGCACAAAAACAAATCAATAATTCTAAATTTGATTTTCTCACTATATTATCCAGTGTGATTAATTTGTTAATATATTCTTTGCTGCTGTGTATTACATACCCATAAATCATGCCCATATCTGTGAACTCTGGATTTGGCTTGGAGTGTTTGGGAGATAATATGCCCTACAGAGTTCCAAGTGTGTTCTGTATGTTCCAGTAGCAAATTAGGTGCCCGTGCTTGTTTTCTTGTGTCTGACAGATTTTTTATTTAATTATTATTCTTATTGTTTTATTAACTCGTTACCAGCATCCTAATTATTTAACCCATCCCGTGTAAAGCATTCTCAAAAAACAGTCCATCCAGTGAAAATTAAGTAAATGAATTATAAGCTTTCTTATTATATGTGTTATATAAGATTTATTGTACTTACACATCATTCTTATTCAAATTTTGTACCTAAAAACATACATTATTTTAGTGTGATTAAATAGCAAGGCAGCAGTGTTCTATTCAGTAACACTAAAGATACTAAGTTAAAAGTTCTTTGGTATTACTGAAGATTTTATGATCTAGTTTTTAAAGTTAGGGATCATTATTATTATCAACCAAATATAGAAGTTTCCAAGTATGATTGTGAAAATATAAAAGCTACACCAAGATACTTAGTTTAACCAGTCTCCCGTAGCAATAATCAATCACATAACATTTGATACCAAGATACTTGGGAGACTGGTTAAACTATCAAATGTTATGTGATTGATTATTGCTACACCAAGAAACATAATTGTCTGTGACCCACAGGTGTGTCACAGGTCCATAACTAAAAGTCGGTTGTGACCACTGGTGGCCCACATGGCAGCAAACGTATTAACATTCCTCCCCCATCTCAACACTTAACTATATTTAAATTGTTTTTATTTGACTTTTACTTTGTTGTAAACTTTGAGCTATATTTTAATGCTACGGATGTAGGTACGTTATTCCTTTAACTAATCCGGTATATTTAACATCAGTTCTACTAGGTATTGGATATTTATAGTGACACTGTAATTATAGTTGTACATGTTACGACGCTTGAACCTTTTATGAATATCACACCGAACTACAGTTTCTTGTGTGACACTGTAATCATAGTTGTACATGTTACGACGATTGAAACTTTTATGAATATCACACCGAACTACAGTTTCTTGTGTGACACTGTAATTATAGTTGTACATGTTACGACGATTGAAACTTTTATGAATATTACACCGAACTACTGTTTCTTGTGTGACACTGTAATTATAGTTGTACATGTTACGACGCTTGAACCTTTTATGAATATCACACCGAACTACTGTTTCTTATGTGACACTGTAATTATAGTTGTACATGTTATGACGATTGAACCTTTTATGAATATCACACCGAACTACAGTTTCTTATGTGACACTGTAATTATAGTTGTACATGTTACGACGCTTGAACCTTTTATGAATATCACACCGAACTACAGTTTCTTATGTGCAGTACGCGAGAGAATGAATGGATCGTGTTGAAAGACGTTTATTTACCCTTGTAATTTTACGGTCACTTTATCTTAAATTTCAGTTCAAGCTTCAGAACAATTTAATAACTCAACCCTCCTACTGTACAGAATTGTGTATTATGAGAGTTAAAAATAGAACGTTAAAGACAAATCAGTAATTTTTGTAATTGTATATAAAATATACTTAACATTTTAAACTTATAGGAAAAACTATTTTTTATATTATTTTCGTGTGTGAATGTATCTATGTATATCACACTAAATGTCATAGCAGGAAATTTACCAATATCTAGTCGTATTTAATAGTGTGTAATAACTAAGTGAATAAACTAAACGCCCGAGAGACGTACATTTCAGTGAAGCAGCTAAATAAAGATTTTCATAAACAGCTACTGCAAATGTGGGTAGCCAACTGTATATACACACACAGATATATATATATATATATAGTGTGTGTGTGTGTTTATTCTATTAGCCGCAGCTCATAGAATGGCTCCGGGTTATTTAACTTGTAGCCCCGTCATCTCTTGACCATGCCCAAGGTCTCATAAATTAATTTACTCTTATCCTGACTTAAAGAATTTCCAGTGTCATGGCTATTGAGGATTCCCTCTTGTTTTGTTTTTTATGAGCGCACTTTGTAATCAAAGCTTTTATATTGTTTTTAAGACTGCTTTGGTAGCTTGCTAGAATATCAGAAGTTAATATGCTGACTTCACAAATTCGATTATTGCTTACGTCATAATATAGAAACTTTCCGAGGGTGATAGTAACTGTTTGTGTGTACAATTTGTAGGGTCACAAATCACTGTTACTTTTGTTGATACTATATACATTAAATAAAACAATTAGAAAAGTTATTGTAATTGTCTGATTATTAAACTGGAATATGAATGCGTAAAAGACGGAGAGCATAATTTTCAATCATTTTTTTCCCCAGTTTGTTGTAGTGCGAACTGAAATATAATTTTGACATACTAGGGTAATTGAACATTTTCCTTTAGATGATATAAACTTGAATTTCCCAACGTTTCGCTTGTGCTTCTTAAACGAGAGCCAAAGTATAAAGATTATGTTTTTGTGTTGTAGTTTGTTGAACGAACCCCCATACTAAGGATTAATTCCACGAGCTGCCATATCTCATCGCGGGTTAACAGCGAAACCAGTGTAATTAGCACAACTATAACGAATTCAAACGTAGTGAATGGCCAACGGTCTCGTTTCTAAGTGTAATGGGAGTGATCAAGTACCATACCAACTACACTGTACTGGCCAAGCAAACAACCAACTGTAAAATATCGTTCTGGCCAAGATAAATTTCATATTTTCATTCAGACTGGAGCAACTTAGTACAGAAGACTGTACTTGTTAACACTTATTTACTTGTAGCCAGTTCGACACTGCACGAAACGGTGCATGAGGGATTCAAATAAAACTGTTTTAACAAGCTGACAATCCGTTCAACCCACGGGGAAAACACAGGTCCTCTGGGGGGAAGGGGATGCAAATCTGAACGACGATGTGTTTCACAGGGAGCCATAGGGTACAAGGCTACAAGCCTGGTTTGGTGACAATCGGTGCAGTTATCAGCGGACACACACAGAGGCTTTTGTCAAGCAGTAGTTTAAATAAGGTTCAAAATGGTTATTGAAAATGGATTTACACATTGTGACATACACAAACTTCAATTAAGTAATAAGTAATTGCATATATAGTATCGAGTTTTCCGTAGAACACGTGCAGTTTTAAGTGTATATATAAATGCCTGTACACATATCTAATCATAAGAGCTTATGAGTGAATGTAAAGAAGAATGAATTATAATAATAGCCAATCGCACTGTATCTAGTGCTGACAGGGCAGGCCTTTCACTTAATACCAGCGCTCCTGGAGCCGGCTGGGATACGACAAACACGTTTGAGATTAATAACGTTGGTAAATTAATATGTAGAATTATACACGGACTTTTCTCTACGTTAAAACTTTTATTTGCGAGCTTTCGGCCCTCTTACCGGAACCTTCATCGAGCAGTTGTCGAGTTGAAAAGGTCTTTTTATTTACGTCATCAGTTACATGAACAACTGTTTTAGTCTGAATTAGACTTAGTTAGTGAACTGTATTTTATTTTAAGTTTATGTAAGTTATTACAAATCGGGCTTAGGTTTATGATTTTTATTAACATTAAATTACGTATTTACTTGGCTTGAATTAAAGTGTGAGGAACACGCGAACTAGTAAGTTAGTGTTTTTTATCCCGAAAATATGCACCATGGATAGAAACAAAACTTCCGGTGACGTCGGTGTACAGTCGAAAGTTTGGGAAATGAAGGTTTATTTCAAAGGACGTCCAGGTTACTCAAACTACAAAGATTGTTGAACATATACTACTACTCACATGTACTTATACGCTGCATCCATTGTTGTGGTATCAGCCTAGTGGAAGCGTGTGGTTCGCCAGTTTTTCAAAAATGAAATGAGCAGGTTAATTCGAGAAAGTAACAATATATGGTGTTAAAATAAATAAATACTATCTTGTTAAATAATCCCTGTGACGTAAGTAAAAACTTGTAAAAAATTACACTTCAGCATAATTCAGTTCACACTATAACAGTTGTTGTCAAGCGTCTCAAACACTTGTCTGTAATATCCAAGCCGGTCTGAAGAGCCTTGGTAGGCCTCGTTGGCACTGGATATAGCAGCTGTAGTGTGGTTGACATTATACTTTAAAATCCTTTCTTTCACTCACAAGCCCTTATTAATAATTGCTTTGTCCTGCCACTTTTAATGTATGATTATGAACTGTAAAACAGTCGAGTTCATTAGTTTCATACAATATGCCATTGTCAGAGATCGCACTTACCAGTTACTTCTACTCTTTGTAACAGTGCAGAAATAGAACGCAGCCGGTTAACATTAATATATTTTTTTTCTTCTAAAAAGACGTTCAACAAGATAATTTAGTTGGAGTTGCATGTGGTGATGATAGTCAAGGTTTTCGCACACATGTTTGACTGATAATGTATACTGGGATTCCAGCACATAGAAGATTAAAACAACGTAGATAGTGTGTCAAAACGTATTGTTTGTTACTTCCTGCATTCGTTGATCAGTGTCGCTCATGATTGTCATAAGTTCAAGTAAAAACTATTTAGTGACGTAAGCATTAAAGGACCAACATATAAAACTTAAGTCTTTCCTGACCGATCGAACTGATGAATAGTCAGTTTTTTGGTTACTTTTCTGCATAATTCTTGTTCAGAAAGTTGAAACAGATCTGCGTGTTACAATAGTTCAAGATATCTTCCATGGCACACACTGTGTTGGCGCCATATCTCTACCGCCGTAGTCCGTGCTAACGCTTCAGTAAATACGTGTTGGTCTCCGAACTGGTCGAATGACCTTGATTCAAGACACCAGGTTTCTTTCTGCTCATGTAAAAATGCGAGAGTTACAAGTGCGTCTACCGTAGCAGTAACAGATACATGCTTCAGATACTGGGAACGGTAACACGAAAAGTTGCAACTTGTTTGTGTCTAGAAAAGTTGTTTGATGGTACTTTCTTTTAATGTATAAATGTGTTTGCTTGTGAAAAAAACCGTCTAGCTCGTTCCCTAGTGGTTACGTGTTTTATTTGTAGTTGAATGTTTCAATTTTACAAAGTACCGGTCTACATGAGTGAGTAAATACCGCTTTCAGTAAGTATAGTTGTATTTTACCTCTTAAACATTATAAAAATATAAGTAAATAGTCACGTGCTAGAATTCTTAATTATTAAATGTGTATAGGCCAATAATGTGTACTGAACGTTGGATAACTGTAATTATGTATAATTACTTGTATTTTATTCATCCTAAGCTTGTTTATATACTTAACAGTCATCTTCAACCTATGTAAATAAAACATGCATTAGTGATAAAAATCTAGTTAACGTAATACCAGAAAAAAATGTGTAGGCTTAGCTCAATATAATAGTGTTGTAGTCATATACAAATGCAAAATAATTCCTTGGTAAAACAAATATTATTAGTGTCTTAAACCGTTTATGGTAAGAATCGAAGTGTAAAGGCTGACTTGAAAATGTAAGTTTTTATTTATACTTTTTCAGGTTAAAAATAACAGACCTACATATGCGCATGTGAATACACATGGCCTGTTTCGCATGCGCCTATGCCTTTGTGTCAGAATCTCGAAACTGTGGTTGGCGTGTTGTTAGATAAAGATTCTTGGAACATACACATCACGAGTGTTTTGGCAAGCTTAAACCGGAACTAGCTATTAGCGTGATATCAAAAGAATATAGCTGAACGTCTGTACATACCACAAAGTTGTGTGTATATATACATATATGTGTGTGTGTGTGTAAACATATAATATTGTGGCGCACGGTCGTATTTCTAGTAACAAGTAATAATGCCTACGGCCTGGTGGTCATAAATGCATGTCTCGTACATGTAACCGACTTTTCACTAGTGTGTTTGAATAAGCATGAATGTGTACTTTTATAACCGTGGTTGGAAAGTACATGAGCTTATTTAGTTCTTTCATCGATTTTAGCTGTTGGGAAGGTTAAATTAAAACACATTTTATTTTTCAAGAAATAATCGATTCCACTGTTTCAGCAGATAATATCCGTTAAGAGTTAGTTGGTGGTTTAATATTTCTGCTAGTGGCGTTGCAAAGTGGGGGATGCTTGGCTTGAGATATAGATTTTACAATGAAAGATTGAAAGTATTAGGAGCTGCTAAAGGTAGCTCAATCTGGGGGCATGCCTCACAGAAAATTAATAATATAACTTACATTTACTATAACAGTCAGATATGTAAAAGTGGTTGTGCTACAGCTTCAGTTTGCTGCTAAAATATGTTTGGGCATCAGCAGAAGATAAGCTTTGAGGACAAAAACCATTTTAAATTTAACTTAGCATTCTGTAAGAGATTGGTTTTATGACAAGTCATTTACAAATAGTTATGATTAATCAAATTATTTGCCATGTATATATGTATATATATCTCAGTTAATTGTCCCCAAAGAAGCAGTTGGGATGAAGTTGTGGTTAATGAAGTTAGCAGATATTGTCATTTGCTCTATCACAAATATACAATAGTATATTTTGATAATAAAGTGTGAGTTTCAAGTGACACTATGTGTAGACATTTTCTGTACCAAAAGCTAAACAACACAGGATAAAGGTAATACATCTAGTCATTGTTGTCTTGTGAAATACAGAAGCATGGGAATTGGACGTGGTCATAGCATGTTGTTTGTTGTACATTAATCATGGTTTTGTTTCTGTTACACAGTGTAGGTTGGATGCATTGTGTTTGTTCAGTAAAATGAAGCTTCCTCACCCATCTTTATGTGAGTTTTTATTTCCATGCTTTACAAGACTGATACTTTGTGTTGATCTCATCCTCTGTTTATAGTATTAGTCAATGAGCTATTAATTTTTTGTTTGTATAGAATGATAATCATTGTAGTGTTCATTTATATGTGCTGTATGCCAAATCTTTGAATATGTTCTATCAAACTGTTTAAAGATGAACATACCTGCTTAGCCACCATTAATTTTTGAAAACTTCATCCAGTTGATGACATGTGAAGACTGCCATGTGAGTCCTAAAATGTTCATTAGAAGTTAGCTCTGGGCTTTGATCAGTCCAATAAGACATTAGTATTGTTACAGTGATCATACTTATTGTAGTATGTAAGCATACTAGGTGTTTATATGGTTAAAAAAAAGGAGGAACAATTGTACAACAATGTATGTAATTTTAACATTAAACATTAGTCATGGAAGTAGGTAAGTTTTTTTTCACCATATTTACCTATTGTTCTCGTTCATTTACCTTGGGTGTCACATGTGCCTTTTCATGGGAAAGATTTCTGTAAACTATAACAGATTTTCTACTGGCTGTTCAAGTGATACATTTGGAATACAACCTACCTTGTTTTTCAGTGGGAATAACCAACAATGATGTGAATAATTCATGCAACCTGGGAAATAATATTATTGTTCTGTGTATATAATGCTATGTTTTCTGAGTCAGGAATTGTTTTTAAATATATTTACAGTTCTTCACAAAGATTAAAGAGATTTACTTTTCTATATAGAGCTCTCAAATGTTTAGTAAAGGTGCCCTGTTTTTTTTTAAATAAATATTGTTTCATACTGTCATACACTGTGTTCAGTCTCTCTCAGTTTTCACAACTCTAAAAGTCAGCATATAAAATTTAACTCTGGAGAACATTTTCTGTAAAACCTCAATGCACCATAGGACAATTCGACAGAATAGGTAGGAAGGTGTAAATTTTTTTGCCATGGCCATGGTTGGTTTTTACAGAGTTTTTCATTTTCATCTTGCAAGTATATTTCCCTATGCTTTTCTAAACTCCTAAGGCATTTTCCATTGGCCAGAGGAAGAATTGGGAGTCAGTTAATGATGGCTGTCTGAAAGAGCAGTTGGGTATCAGAGAATTTCTGTTTTAGATATCAGGCTTTCATTGATGCTACTAAGGTCTGTGACTGCATTCTCACTATATTAAAAACTCGGGAAGGAAAACTGCCAGAATTGGGTGCAGTTAGAATTTTTGACTGTTTTCTTCCTGAGGATATGTCTTAATGCACAGCAAGCACAGGTGACTTGCTGTCTGATACTGAATGAAGCATTCTCTACAGAACTTCCTAACATTTGATGACCAGAGTAACCCAACCCTAACTATGGTCACTGCCAGTGGTGGACAGTGTTTCCTACCCAGAGTTGAGCTGGTGTAGATGGAAGTTATGAGTCTCTGTGATGGAATGTATGCTGTCAGGGTGAGCATAGATCATGAAGAGACCCATGGACAAGCTGCCCAAAGCAACTCATTCTGTCACTCAGAGGCAGGGACCTAATGATTGTCTAAGTGTACGTCCATGAGTATGCCTATTACATCATATCCCTGTCTTTTTGGCATCTCAGCCTGATGTTATTTCATAGTGCATGGGGAAACGATTTATGCTGCATTCACAGAATCCTGATAGTGAGCTTAAGTATATTTTTCACTCATCATTTAAGGATACAGCCTAGATAGGTCCATACTTTTTTAAACATTTCAGATGGGTCAATGTCTGGAATGAACAGATTCAGGGACAGGCAGTGTAGTTCCTGATATTGAAACTTTATGGTTCATTGTTCGAATCAATCAAGTGTTTTGATAAGGATAAAGATGTTGGTAGTAGTTGTCTGGCTATCCTACAAAAGTCAGACAAGAAGTCACTATCTGGAGAGCAGCATCACCACTGTAAAGATTGGCTAAGTTACCAGCAGCTGGGACAGTCAATTGTAAAATTGGTGACTGAAAGGAAGTGGTGTTTCATAATGAAATGTATGTACAACATTGTGTGATTAACCTCCTGATTATAACAGGTAGGATGGCTGGTTTTAGTCGATGTGATACGTAGATCATCAACAGTTTGTAGGACATGAGGATTGCTAGTAGCTCAGAAACTCAGCTCACAGGGTCTCATATGTTGTACCAGTATTTTCTGAGCTGTAGAACAATTTTCTAAGGTGAAATGTTTGTCTACCATTTTGTGAGAATCTCTCATCTTGTCTAGACAAGTGGGGAAATTTATGCAGAGCGGCCTGTTCACTTAAGTGTGTATGTAACTACCATATGCAGTGATGGAATTGTGTTCTATGTCAGTACAGAATATGAAGTGGGCTGCTAAGTGGAAAAGTCTTTGTTTTGTCAGAACTTGCCTATATGTATTTTTCTGTGATGCCAAATATAGTGACTGCATTGACCCGTGAATGGAAATACAGTATCAGATTAGTTCAACTTCTTGTGTTGGCAGGCATCTAAGACAGTATATGTATTTTACTTTGGAATATTGTACTTAGCTTGTTGGTTTGAGTGTGTATTTCTATTTACTGTAGTGACAGCATGACTATTAACCTTGGATAAAATTTTCATAATTTCAGAATTCATTTTCATAACAGTATTATTTAGTAGTCGATACAGGAGTGGGGTTCTGGGAGTTCAAACCCTGCCCTTTTAGATCCAAAGTGTCCTCAATATACATTGTTTTTGGATTTTCTTATATCTCAGAAAATAATCATTATTAGATCTTAAAAGCAACATATATATATATATCATTACATCATTTTCCTTATTGTGAGGAAATCCTACATCTAAAATAGAGTCAAAATGACTATAGAGGTACTGCGAGCTATAATCCCCATTTCTCAAAGTGTAAGGAAAATCATTAACATTTGTCATGCACTCTTATTGGTATGACCATATTTTTAAATCGGAGGAAAGCTGTTACAATGTTGAATGCACTTGTGAACAGACTCGGGATCATCAACTGTTCATTTGAATCAACAGGTTCCTCAAAACTGTCTTTATTTTGAAAAATGCTTGTCGATGATTTTTTTCATTTGTTCATTAACTCTCAATATAAGCTTGGTCCAAGAGACTGACAATGTGACCATTTTCACTTGTGTATAGTTTTAATACAGTATGTGTATCTTCACAAAATTTGGCAAGCTTTTAGTAAACCTTTAAAGTCATTTGTACACAAAAATCATGTTTTTTAATGAAATATTTTTACAAAAGATTTGTCCATGAATATATCAAGTCTTTCTTTGACCAGTTCGATTGCAGAGTGATTTTCATGTTAAGATTAAAAATACTTTTCTTCATCTCAAAT